GGAACGAAGGTGTAAATAAATGAAGGTGTAAACAAATAAACAAATACATTAATGAGATAAAGAGGAAGAAGAAGAAGATGGAAAAAAAAAAAGAAAAAAAAAAGAAAAAGAAAAAAGTAAAGATAATAAAAATATCATAGTTATCTTCGATAAATACGATTTGCGTGAACACACCTGATTGTATGTATAAGCGTATGGTCGGATGTAAGGATGGATAGTGGGTGGAGGGTGAAGTGCCGCGGGGGGAGAAAAAACGCGTCGTTGTAGCTTAGCTCTAGGGAGAAGAAGGGCTTAAACTTTGTTTTTATCGTCGGGTGCGGTATCATTATCGAGCGAGGGGTATGTGTGTACGTACCCTCCCCCCCCCTCTCCCCGTAATACCCGGCATATACCGCCGTTACTATTCGCTCAACAACTGTCTTTATGGCACGAAGAGCTCGCAGTTGTTCTCTGTTCCGCGACGTGAAAAAAAAAAAGAAAAGAAAAAAAAGAAAAAGAGAAACAAAAGTATATTATATACATTAGAACGTGGAAACGTGGATGCATGTGCATCCAACGATTAAAAAAAGAGAGAGGAAAAAGAAAAAAAGAGAGAAAACTATGGATGTTGCAAACTAGGACGTTGCGCTTGGTCTTTTGTTATGGCGATAACAGTGTCTTTAGTGAACAAAAAAAAAAAAAAAAAAAAAAAAAAAGCAAAAAAAGACAGGCGACGGGGGGGGGGGAGGGGAGGTGTAACAAAAAAGATGAAAAAGATTGTTCCAGAGTTGTACTGTTTCGTTTCTTTCTTCCTTCTTTTTTTTTTTTTTTTTTTTTTTTTTTTCTTTAAATAACTACGAACAATTTTGTCGACGTTAATTTTTTTTCTTCCTCTTTTTTTTCTTCCCTTTTATTATAGCATATTCGAGATTTTCGTTGATAAACGATAGATTTTGATCGATAATTGAATCGAATCGATATTTAGATCTGAATTGATATGTTTCTTATAGAAAATTTTTTCTACGTGAGAAATGACAAGAGATGACAATGCAAGAAGAGCGCCATCAGTCAATAAACAACTTTATAAACGCATTATTCGCATGTTTCATAGTCATCTTTCTCTATGCCAATATCATTAGCTGTTTCAACCGATACGATATTCTACCTTAACCTTTTTTCTCCCTTTACCTCTCTTTCTCTCTCTCTCTCTCTCTCTTACCTGCCCATCCTGTTATATCATAAAATATTATATATAGCTTAATGTACTGCAAAGAGTAGATCATGAGAAAATGTTAGAGATATATATATATATATATACAAACATTCTGCGTGTATATATATATATATATATATATATATATACCGACGTACACTGTTAGTATAAAGTTTAGCCTCTGGAAAATGGATGAACATAGCTCTGGAAGAAAAAAGATTGGAAGCATAAACGTAGTGCGTCTGAAGGATGATGTCCATCCTGCCGAAAGGAAGGCTTTCATAAATCCTAGAAAATCGTGCGAGCTTAAACGTTAAGACGCGCTAAACTTTCGATATATCTAAAAATTTTCAATTCATCGTTCTTATCTGAGGATTATTTACTTTTTGAGATAAGATCTATATCTCTCTTTGTTATTTCTTTTTTCGTTTTTTCTTTTCTTTTATTTTCCTTTTTTTTTTCTTTTTCTCTTTCTTTTTCTTTTTCTTCGTCAGTTCATTCTCAATAAAAAAGAAAAAAAAAACACTTATCCCACGATAATAATTTTCTACGCGATAATTATTTATAGACTTTAATTGAAACTATAAGATTATTAAGAGGAAGGAAAATTATTAATTCGAGAACATCGGATATATAATCGAGCATACATTATAATAATTATAATAATGATAATAATAATAATAATAATAATAATAATAATAATAATAATAATAATAATAATAATAATAATAATAATAATGATGATAATGATAATGATGATGATGATGATGATGATGATTTCGATTGAAGTATTTACGTTGCATGCATCTTTAAACAAGATTTTCACCATTGAAAATAAGTACTCATAGTTCGTTAATAAATTCAGAAATTCATTTTGATTTAATTATATTAACATTCACAGTATCCTAAGTTGTTATATCATTTTATCGTTTCATTTAATTTTTATAAACGGTTTAATATTTTCTCATTCTTTTTTCCATCGATCCAACCAACATTCTCTCTTCCTCTCTCTCTCTCTCTCTCTCTCTCTTTTATTCATTATGAATTGTTCATTGTATCGTGTAACGTAGTAAACGTGATATATATATATATATATATATATATATATATATATATATATACAAGTGTAGGTGAAAAGAACTTAATATATCCAATCGTTAAATTATATTTCATAGTTAGACGGTTAAACGTGAACGAACTTTTAGGGTTGCTAATAAAGGGACGAAGGAAAGAGAATAAAAGCCGCATGGGGAGAAGCTCGAGAGAAATAGAGAGAGAGAGAGAGAGAGAGGGAGGGAGAGAGAGGGAGGGAGAGAATGGTTAACTCTTCGTCAACACTCGTAAAATTTCTACCATTAAAGCTCTTGCTGGTTCATAGTAAAGAGACAGAGAAAGAGAGAAAGAGAGAGAGAGAGAGAGAGAGAGAGAGAGAAAATTCAAAGAAAGGGATGATTCGAAGTTCGAAACAAGCCTCGAGTTATATATTGTAGA